CTGCAGAGTGGGAAAGTGCCATCAGTATCCATTACTACCTGAGCAGGTGCCCCAAAGCAGAGGTTGCTGGTGTGTCAGTCCCTGCAAACCATCCTGCAGGCACCCAAGCTGCCTCCCCTCCCTCCCCTTGGGGTGCCCCAGCCCTACAGGCATCCTGAGGGAATGGGGGGCTGTTTTTTTCACGTGTGGTACTCCCCAAAGTGACGTGCTGTGCTGTCCCACAGACCCAGACACGGGCATCTCTGACCCAGAGCAGTATCACACCTACTCCGAGCTCACCAACCCGCAGGAGCCGCTGAGTAAGGAGCAGTGGGATGACCTGGGCAGCAGCACCTCTCCCTGCTCCCAGGCCAGCGATGATGAGGCCAAGACTGGCAGCCCTGTGAAAGCTGAGCCCTTCCCCACACCCAAAAAGGATGACTTGGCTCTGCCCTCGCTCAGCCTCATCACCACCAGCGCCGGCAGCACGGAGGTTGGCAAGCAGGCAGCAGAGAGCAGCCAGTCCTACACAGGTACCCAGGGCTGGCAGGAGGGTGGGGAGACATGCTTGGGTGTGGTGGCCTTGGCTTGGAGCAGGGATGTGCGTTTGAGGGGAGCCACACTCCAAGGCCAAGGGTCTTGGCTGCTTTTTGTCCCCAGCTGGATCTGCTGTGTCTCTCCTGTGCCACTCCATGTGGTGGTGGCTGTCTATGTGTGTGGGTGATGGCTCTCCATGTGTGTACATGATGCCTTTCCATGTGTGTTGGTGATGGCTCTCCATGTGTGTGGGTGGTGGCTCTCCATGTGTGTTGGGGATAACTTTCCATGATGTCAGTGGTGGCTCCACGTGTATGTTGGTGATGGCTCTCTGTGTGTGTGGGTGGTGGCTCTCCATATGTGTTGGTGATGGCTTTCCATGTGTGTCGGTCATGGCTCTCCATGTATGTAGGGGTGGTGGCTTCCATGTGTATTGGGGATAGCCCTCCATGATGTCAGTGGTGACTCCACATCTATGTTGGTGATGGCTCTCCATGTGTGCTGGTGAGAGCTCTCCATGTGTGTTGGTCATGGCTCTCCATGTATGTGGGCAAGAGCTCTCCATGATGTCAGTGGTGGCTCCACGTTGTATGTTGGAGATGGCTCTCCATGTGTGTCAGGGTGGTGGCCCTCCATGTGTGTGAGTGATGGCTCTCCATGTGAGTGTGGTGGCTTTCCATGTATGTAGATGATGGCTCTCCATGTGTGTCGGTCATGGCTCCCCATGTATGTAAGGGTGGTGGCTTCCATGTGTGTTGGGGATAGCTCTCCATGATGTCAGTGGTGGCTCCACATCTATGTTGGTGATGGCTCTCCATGTATGTCAGGGTGGTGGCTTCCATGTGTGTTGGGGATAGCTCTCCATGATGCCAGTGGTGGCTCCACATTGTATGGTGGAGATGGCTCTCCATGTGTGTCAGCTGACAGAATCCGAAGCATCTCCAGTGGGGCTGGAGGATGCAAGACAAGATGCTGAGATGTCTCCTCTCCTTCCAGCCACTCCCCTGGACATTCCCAACATGTTCAGCTTCTGGGAGGACCGGCAGGCAGCCCACCCTGCAGAGCCCCTGCAGCACATCTC